GTATGAGAAGTGAAATCAGCAGTGAGGGGCTTCAGAGGTGCAGGCTCTGGGAAAGATGGTAAGGGTGAAGACAACTTCATCTTGAAGTGTAGAGCTCTGGACCTAAGGGGACAACACACACCAGCTGCTTCTCTAAGAGGGAGATGATTGATTAATGACTGTGGACTCGGCTCTTTGGCACCCTACTACTCACCTAAATGGATTATAGGATCATAATATACAGAATCAGAAAGGTATTTAGAAGTCATCTAGTCCGATGAACTCATTTTACAGATAAGCAAACTGAAGACCAAAAAGGTTAAGTGATCTGCACAAGGTGACACAGGTAGCAAGTGATAAAGTGTGGATTTTAATCAAAGTCCTCTGATGTTAACATCAGTTTACTTTCCATTGACATGTGTCCTCTTGAGGAGTGGGAACAACTGAGGGATTATGCTTTTGGGAAGTGTGGGAGCAACCCTCTGAGTATGGATGTCTTGCTTTCTGCCCGATTCATTATTTACCTTGTTTCATGATTTGATTGAACAATTTTTACAGATTTATACATGTCGATATCTAACAGTAGAATTGAAGGGGTGTGGCCTAAGCTGAGGTCTTCACCCCTTGACCCAAAGGGAATCTGGCTCCCATTTGTCTGCAGGCCCCAGCCCCTCATCTCCCTTTGAAAGCCCTAGCCCCATCTTTTTGATCTCATTCAAATGCCTTTCAGTTCCTTCATTATCTATTCAATCTCTTAGACATTCCAATAGTAATTCTTACCCAGACCCTTTTCCTACACCCTTTTCCCAGACCCTTTTCCCAGACCCCTCTGGGCTACTCAAAGGCACTTTGGTATATGAGATCCACCCTGGCCCCCATTCACATGCAGAGAATCTCAAGTCCAAAAGGCTGAGACTTTCTCATGCCTGCTCGTCCTCATGGGTGTTACCTGGCCTATGTGATTTATCACTAATAAACTTTTCTTCTGGCTGGAAGAAGATTTGAGTTGAATTCTTTCAGACAGGGCCCAGTGTCGCATTCTTGGGGTTCCCAGCAACACCCCAAAGTCCCAGACTTCTTCATATGGTTCCCTGACCGGGAAACAACTGCCAAATCTCAAACTCTTCTTCAGCTAAGACTGGTAAGCCTCCCCCTCCCCAATTCCTCTGTTGTCTTGTGGCTGGGAGGGGGATTTCCAAGCACCTAGCTAGGCTTGGTTTGGAAGTGTTTTGGGGCCTGATCTCTCAGGTCCCTCTAGGTCAGACAGCTACAAGGCTGTCTCAAACTCCACCTGATGCTCTCAGGCTCTCGGTCCAGTGCCTGTGCTTGAGCACTTGGACCTGGGTATACCTTCCTTAGCATAGAGGATGGACTCCCTATCAGGAAGCGTTGGTTCAAACTTCTCAGTTCTCTCTGTGCTAGGGAATTGGGAAACTTTTGGATATATATTTTTTTCTTTCTTTTCTTTTCTTTTCTTTTCTTTCTTTTCTTTTCTTTTCTTTTCTTTTCTTTTTTCTTTTCTTTTCTTTCCTTTCCTTTCCTTTCTTTTTTCTTTCTTTTCTTTTCTTTCTTCTTTCTTTTCTTTTCTTTTCTTTTCTTTTCTTTTCTTTTCTTTTCTTTTCTTTTCTTTCCTTTTCTTTTCTTTTCTTTTCTTTTCCCTAAGCCCACAATGGGTCAATCCTTTTCATTTCCCAAGAATTTACCTTTGGGCTGTCTTTTACTAAATTGGGAAAATCTTAGCTTCTGTACAGAACTTAAAGAGAAAAAGCTGGTGCGTTTTTGTAACATCTTTTGGCCTCAGTATCACCTGGAAAATTATGAGGCATGGCCCCTTTTTGGGACATTAAGGGTAAAGACCCTCTCAGAGTTACAAAAATATTGTCACAGAGAAGGAAAATGGGTGGAGATTTATTACTTAATGGCTTTTGTTGAGCTTTCTAGAGATCCCATTCTCAGAAAGGATTTTAGATGCTCATAGCTAGAGCCACCCCACTAGCAAAGAGTGGGGACCAAATGGACCTTTTGGACAATTCTCTTATGGCTCCTAGGGTTATGGCATCCCCTTCTTCCCAACCTCTGTTTGCACCACCTCCCCAGCACCTATCTCCACCCCTTTCTTCTCTGGCCTCTCTGGCTGTTCCCCATCCTCCCCAGGCCCCTGCTCTAGAGGCCACTTCTACTCAGGCCTTGATCAAGGGCCTCGCTGCAGCCTCTACTTCCAGAGAGACCCCAGCTCAAGCTCTGGACAAGGTTCTCAACTCAGTGCTTCCTCCCCTGACCTCTACTTCTGACCAGACCCCTACTTAGGCTCCAGACAAGGGTCTCACCATGGTGTCTTCTCCCCTGATCCCTCCCCCTCCTCCAGTGTCAGGTAATTTTCCCCCTTGCCAGTTGGATTCCTCGGCCTTGCCAGTTCAGCCAGCACTTTCCAGTCCCTCGCTCAGGACAAGTGGGACTTCCTCCCCCCCCCCACAAGCCCCTGCTCCTGTAGGACCTTCAGGGCTTTTTCTTTAAGTGAAATACCTGCCTCTCCTAATGGGACACTTAGGGTGCATGTTCCATTCTCCATTTCAGACCTCACCCAGGTTAAGGAAAGGCTGGGTCGATACTCTGAAGATCCAACTAAATTTACTGAGGGCTTCAGAGATACGTCCCTACAATTCAAACTTTCTTTGGGTGATTTGCATGTCCTCTTCTCCACCTGTTGTACCACTGAAGAGAGGAAACGAATCTGGGAACAAGCCCAAAATTTTGGGGATCATTTGGCTAGCAATGACCCCACAAAATACCCCCCCCAACAGCTGCTGTTCCTGCTAGTGATCCGGGTCGGGATTATTAGAAGAGTGAGGATAGGGGAAAGAGAGACTACATGATAATTTGTCTGCTAGAAGGCCTCAAAACAGCATTTCAAAAGCAAGTAAACTTTCAAAAGATTAAGGGAATTGCTCAGGAAGAAAAGGAAAACCCTGCCCTTTCCCAGGATAGACTAGTAGAAGCCATTAAAAAGTAAATGAATTTAGATCCTGACTCTACAGAAGGGGCAGCAATCCTTAGCATGTATTTCATTAACCAATCTGCCCCAGATATTAGGAGAAAATTACAGAAATTGGCAATGGGACCCCAAACACCTCAGGCCCAGTTATTGGAGATTGCCTTTGGAGTCTTTAACAACAGAGAATTAGTTGCAGCAGAGGAGAAAGAACTCAGGCAGAGGGCTAGAGACAAAGAATATGCTCAATTCCTGGCTGCTGCCATGGTCAGGAAAAGACCCAAGAATGTTCCTGCCAACTTGGGCAGTGGGAAGTCCTGCTTTTGATACCACCGTGAGGGTCACTGGTCCAAGGAGTGCCCCTCCAAGGCACCCCCTTGGAGGAAGCCCCCAAGACAGACACCTCCAGGACCTTGCCCAAGATGTGACCAGGAGGGACATTGGAGGAAGGATTGTCCCCAAAGTAGGAGAAGTGGTAGAGCAGCCCCCCAGTACCCTATCCTCCAGTCTTCTCAAGACTGGGGAGGACAAGGGAACCTGGGTCTGGGCAACACTCCCACTTTCTCCATCTCTCTCACCAAGCCTGGGCAGAAATCAAGGCTGAAGGTAAGGTTACCCACTATATCATGGCTATGATTTGCCCCTTGACCCATTCAATCATGGGCATTCAAGGGATAACTAAGGGATGTCTCCAGACATACCCCTCCCCCTGCCTATTTGAGAATCTGTTGCATAGCCCTGCCTCACTTAAATCCAATTCACTTGCAAGTGAGGACATCACCTTCCCGAAGTCATTGGTCCTCTTCAAGAACAAAGGACAAACTACAAACCCGGGTTAAAATCCTATCCTCTGCAAGAAGTCTTTACAGAATCAAGGGGCGGGGCCTCCTGGGATTGGATGTAGCCATAACTGTTGCAACCGCCCGCCAGTTGCTCTGAAGGCATACTCGGTTTTATAATACAAATAACTACAGTTAAGAAGGTAAGACAGAAGCCATTATTTCTTTGAAAGGCCTCTTTTTGCTTCAAGGAATGTGATTTTCTCCTTTTAGTTGCGGAATCTTTTTTTCCGGTCTAGCCCTTGAACTCTGGCTACTACAGCTTGATATTCCGAGAGTATTGGGATTTGGGAGTTAGGAAGAGCCGAGTTCAGTTCCCGCATTAAATTTACCAACCACGCGACCATGCCTTGCAATCTTAAATTTCCTCATCTGCAAAAAGATGTAGTACCCACCTCACTGGGTTGTTGCGAGGACAAAACAAGACGTTAGAGGCTTTGCGAACTTTAAAGTGCTATAAACATCCTGATACCTCTTTTCTTCTCCAGTCTTAAAAACTCAAAAATACTTGGGACCTTAACCAATAACTGAGGTTATTTAGGCAGTTTACTACAGGACAATAGTTTTAACCACGATAAGGTCTCTACCCGTTTTCATAAGGGAGGTCTAGATAATGAATATTTCAAGATAGTTCTCCAGAATCTTTACTGAAAGACAAAATGCCTATAATTTGCTCTGCCCCTCCCCGCAAGTAACAAAAAAAAAAAAAGAAAGCCTTCCCTTTTATGTGTAGTCTTTATATTAGAAAAGTAAAATCTCAAGTTAGGAACAGTAAGATCTAGAGTATTTTCGATAGCTTAAAAATCTGTTCAGAATCATGCAGCTCGTTCCTGATTGGGCAAACAATTTCTCATGCTAGAGCCGGATTGGTCCATGCGTTTCTATTGCCTGTTGACTGGACAGCCTCACATGGCGCGTTTTTTACTTGCTAAAAATATTAACTAGCAATAACCTGGTATAGGCTTTATCGGATTTTGTAGTATCACACTGCACAATTCCATTTTATCCCCGTCTTGTCTGGAAGTCAGCAACAATTACTTATAAATACGGAACAAGCATGCATGTCCACGTTAAGGGACAGCTGCTGCACATCACTAGATTAAAGATATCACAGTATTAAAACTTACCCAAACTTTTAGCTTTAAGTCGGTCTTTTAACACCACTCAGTTACAGCTCTCTTTAAGTGGGAAAATGAAGGGCTCTGAAAAGAGCCTTTTAATTTTTGGTAAGTCTTAATTAAGCCTGGAAGTTTAGCCCCCGAAGCCGTAGAGGGTCCGGCCCTGGCGCTTGAGCGCGTAGACCACGTCCATGGCAGTGACCGTCTTCCTCTTGGCGTGCTCGGTGTAGGTGACGGCGTCCCGGATCACGTTCTCCAGGAACACCTTCAGCACGCCGCGGGTCTCCTCGTAGATGAGCCCCGAGATACGCTTGACGCCGCCGCGCCGGGCCAGACGGCGGATGGCGGGCTTAGTGATGCCCTGGATGTTATCTCGGAGCACCTTCCTGTGCCTCTTGGCACCCCCTTTACCCAGCCCCTTGCCTCCTTTTCCTCGCCCTGACATAACTAGCCTCTCAGAAACAAACCAAACTAGGAAAAGTCTAGGAGAATGACCGCTTCTGAGAAGCAGCCACTTATATGACCGAAGGACCGACCTGATTGAGGACTACACACATGGGGCGGGAAGAAAATCTTCTGCTTCCCCCTTTTTGTTTTATTTTATCAACAATAACAACAAAAAACTGTCTTAAGCTCCTCCCCTCCCCCCAACTGGCGACTTCCCCCCCCCCGCCTTTTCTCTTTTTGTCACCAGAAAAGAACTTTCACCACACATTTCTTGGGAAATTCTGCAGAGAGAGTTTGTAAATAAAACAACGGACAAACGTGTTTAAACGCAGTCTCGCTTCTTTTCTGTCTGCAGAACTTAGGACTACCCCAAACCATCGAGGGTTGATTCTTTTCATCATTAAACTCCAATGTCTCACTATACATAGTTTCCCTGAGGGCTTGTTGCATCTTCTTCAGTCTGCATCAACCTCCATCTCGGGCACTGCCAGAATTGTAAAAGTGACTAGAAGGAATTGAATCATGGAATTTTAGGACTGCGAGGGCGCCAGTGATCATTTCATCCAAACACCAAATGAGGGAACCGAGGCCCAGAGAATGCAGAAAGATTTGGTCAGCTGGTGAGTTGGCACTACAGGATGCCAGATCTGAATCCTCCCCAATTCAATAGCCTTACTTCTAGAACTTGTTAAGTGATGCAAAATGCAGTTGGAAAAGCTCTGAATCTTCATAGAAACGGCTTGTATTCAAACCACGCTTGTGTTATTTACTTCGTGTAGGACCTTGAGTGACTGATTCACTTAAACTTTTAGGACCTCAGCTTCCTCATCTGTAAAATGAGATTGGACTAGATCATTAGACTGTAAGCTTCTTCAGGGCAAGGATTGACATTTGCCTCTTTTGTATCCCCGGCGCTTAGCACAATGCCTGGCAAATAGTAGGAACTTAATACATGTTTATTCATTGATTTATTGAGTGATAAATGATCTTGGTTCCTTCCAGTTCTAATCTGCCGTCCTGGAATCCTGTTCCTTCAGAGATGTGAGTGGGAGAGACTTCCTTTGAGGGTGGCTAAAGACATATTGCTGGTTTAGTGGCAGATGTCTCCCAGGTTCCTCTTCAGGTTCCTAGTATTTATTGTATATTCACTTAAAAATCTCCAGTTTTCACTTAAAAAAACTCAACCTGTCCCCAAAACAGCATTGTTTTCTCAGTCTTTTCCTCGAAATGGCGTTGTATTCACTTTTTATACATTTTGTATTTACTTAGATGTGTACTTGTTCCTCTGACCACAACATCATATATTACTTGAAGGCAGGGACTATTCAGCTTTTATCTCTGTATACTTACATTCACAGTAAGTAGTAGGCTGTAAATGAATTCTTGAGGAATTGAACTGAAGACACTTTCAACCCCTAATATTTTGCTTCTTTTCCATCTATTCTTCATTTCTCCTTCCTAGGAAACTTCAAAACAGCTGTAACTTGTAAGGAAAGATCTCAGGTGTACAATATTCATTCAGCTTTAGTCTTGGCCTAGGCACAAGAATACGTCACTCAAAACACTCAAGCCTCCCAGACTCATTTCTCCCTTCTCCTCCTCCCAGACTCACTGTGTATGTGCACGCACACACATTCACATAAACCTGAGTGAGCATGCACCGCACCCAACATTTCTCGTTTTTCTCGAACCTGGAAGACTGGCTAGTTGTGGAGCTAATTTTAGAGTGAGTGCAGGCTCCAGGAATAGTATTTGGGAAAATTTTGTTTTGTATGAAGAAAATTAAAGAAGCAGGCACAAATCATTCCTAATTTTAAAAATGAATCGCTAGCTTGTCAGTAATCTCATTAGGAGCCAATCGAAGCTGCTTGCGTTGTAGCAGAGTGGCGCAGCGGAAGCGTGCTGGGCCCATAACCCAGAGGTCGATGGATCGAAACCATCCTCTGCTAAAAGACTTTTTTTCTAATTATGTTAAAAATTTCAATACTACTTTAATACAGTCAGAGTAATGATAAGAAGTTTTAAAAGCATACAATACATGGGGCAGGAAGATTCCCCCGTGTCTTGGGGAGTTTGAATCTGTATATTTGTGATTATACTTCAGAAGTAAATATTTCTGTGTAAAACTCTTAAAAAATTATTAAAAAGCGTGACTAGAGACTTGATTAATTTAAAAAGTTACTTTGTATCTACCCTAAATGTAAACTGCTTGAGGCAAAATACTGTTTTTTTCACTCTACCTGGGCACACAGTAAGCACTTAATAAATGCTTGTTGATTGACTGTTTGAAACACAGACCCACCTCATGTTTGTGCAGTTTTGTTCCTTTTGTAAGCTTTTCGTGTAAATATTGTGATTTGTAGCTGAAACTATAATAAATATATTTAGCTGAAATATTTTCTCTTTCCCAAGATTATCTTAACTATTACTTCACCAATATTCAGTTCGGGCTGTTTTCCAGGGCTCGGCCCTTCTCTTCTCTTTTCTCTTGTGGAGCTTTTATTGATGGATTTTGTGTAGAGACCCCCAAATTGGCATCCCTACTCTCCCTTCTGAATTACAAACACATATCTTTAGCTGCTTGTTGATTATATCATCTCAAAATCAACATATCCAAAACAGAACTCATGATCTGTTCCAGTTTCACAATCTGAAAGTTATACTTGGCTCTTTCCTCTCCCTGCCAGTTCTTCCCAGCCATCTCTTCTCCCCTTCCCATACCCACCCTCATCCTATCATTTACCCAGTCTTGCTGATTTTGTCTCCACAATATCTCTGCATCCATCTCCTTCATTCATTCAAGCACTTTCCTGGACTAGGTTAAGATCCTCTTAATTGGTCACCCTGTTTCTATCCTCTGCCCTCTTCAATTCATCCTCCATACAGATGCCAAAATGACATTTGTATATATTTTTTAATTTATATCTTTCTCATTTACATCACTTTTATTTCCATGTATGTCCCTCTCCCTTCTGTCTACACAAAGAACCATGTCCTGAAACAAAAAATTAAAAAGAGAGGAAAAAGCTATTCAGGAAAACTAACCAACTTATCAAAAGTCTGTTGGGTTGAATTTTTGTTGTTGTTCTATTTGCATTGCAGCAGTCGTTGAGTATGTTGTTTTCCTAATTCTCCTTATGTCACATTGTATCAATTCTTGTAAATCTTTCCATGTTTCTTTGTGTCCTTTCTTGTAATACAATAATATCCCATCACATTCGTGTGCTACAATTTGTTAAACAATTCTCAATGAATGGACATCCTTCCGATTCATCGCTTTAACAAATAGCACGGCCATGGATAGTTTGGTTTTCCCTTTCTGACTTTGACCTTCTTTAGATACATGCTTAGCAATGATATCTATGATTAAAAAAAATACATGTATGTTTTAGTCACTTTCTAAGTGTAATTCCAAATTTCTGATCAGAATAGTTGGACCACCACACAGGGTCATTAACATTATATTAGTGTTCTTGGCTTTTTATCACCCTTCCAACCTTCACTGTCCCCATTTTTTGCAGCATTGCCAATTGGTTGGGTCTGAGCTGAAATGTGAGTTGTTTTGATTATCTTTTTTTCCCTCATTATTAACAATCTGGAGCTATCTTTCATATGGTTGTTAACAGTTGTCAGTTCTTTTGAGAATTGTTGTTAACGGACTTTCCCCAGTCATTCATTGGGGAATGGCTGTTGGTCTGATATATCTGTGTTTTTATATATTTGTCTGTATGTATCTTTACATATTTGTGTAGTTCTTTATATGTTTCAAAATAATTTCCCTATGACACAGGTCCCACCATATCACTCTCCTGTACAAAATCCTTCTTTGCTCTCCATTACCTAAAGCAGTGTTCTTGACCTGAGATCCATGGAAGGGCTCCATGGATAGATTTTAGATGGGGCCTGTGAATTTAGATGGGAAAAATTACAACTTTATTTTTACTAACTTCTAACATAAATTGAGCATTTTCCTAGATTATGAGTTTAAGCAAATTATTCTGATAAGTGGTCCTTCAGTAAGGACCAGATTGCCCCAGGTTAAAAATTTAAGAACCCCTAGATCGAAGGATAAAATACAGATGCCTGAAGTTGTGCTCTAAGACCCTCCCTAAGCTAGACCCTACTTATTTTGTCAGCCTTATTTTTCATTAATCTCCCCTTTGGGAGTTTTATTGGTATAAATGGGGCCAAAATGTGTAGGTCCAAAGAGAAGTAAGAGGTTACCTGTTCAAACCAAGAACTATAGGAATCAGAGGCAGCTGGAGTGGGGCAGTAGTGACACATGGAGGGAGAGACTCTTGGGCCAAGCAGGACCAGGAAAGGGAGTTCCTGTATAAAGGAGAGGAACGCCTAGAACCAGTTGATACGTTCTCAGATCAAGAACCATGAGAATCTTGGAGTAGCAAGAGTCTGAAGCAGAATTTGGAGGAACAAACATAGACTTTACCTTTCATAAATACCATGAGTTATGTAGATAGTGCAAGCCTAGGAGAGTAGAAGTCTACTCTATCCACCTAGAGTGCTTGGAGAGGAAGAAGTCTAAGAAAATATTCTAAGTTTAGAGGACTGTATTCTTCCTTGTAGAGATGGGTTTATTAGAGGGGGAAACTCTAGCAACACTGAGGGCCTTTCCCTTGGTGGTTTGGGGGTAGGAAGGAGTTAATAGTAATTTCTCTCATTTTTCTCACCTTATTTTAGAGGCTCTTATCCTAGAGTCTGTGAAATTGTTTTTTAGTCATTTGGATAATTATTTCAATATAATCAGTTTACTTTGCAATCTTAAATATTTTATTTTGTGCATTTAAAAACATCATTCTGAAGAGAAGTCCTGTAAGTTTTACCAGGTTGGATTATTTACTTATTTGTTTGTTTGTTTATTTATTTGTCTGTCTATCTATATATCTATTTATTTACTTATTGGTTTGCTTGTTTATTTATTGTGCTCCTATGGCTTATTCTCTGGCTTCCAACCTCATCAACCTCATCATGAAACTAAGTCTCTCCAAAGTTGCCAATGACTTCCTAATAGCCAAATCTAAT